GAATTAATGTTGAGAGCTCAGCAGACAGTTTAAGTTTCACTTTCACTTTCACCCGAAAGTCTGCTGGAGTCATGGGCGGGGTGTGTGGAGAGGGAGGGAGGGGGGCGCGCCGCCATGAGGAAGTTTGGCTTAAAGACACGTCCCAGGGGTGTTTCTGTTATCAAAAGGCATTCCTGGTCCCCACCTGTTGTTTTGCTCCTCAGCATGGCTTCCTAAAAATGCTGCAGGATTTCTCAAACATGCATGAATGAGTCAGAGCAAGGCTTTGGGCATGTTTTTTATGAGAGTATAACATTATAACATGATATAAAACTCAAAAAAGTTGATTTTACATGATATTGGCCCTTTAAGAATTATTTGCCTTTAAATTATAAACAGCTTTTCACTAAAACAAACATATTGTAGCATTTTTTATTTCATTCTTTATGTCTTGATCTATCTATCTCCTATAATCCAGTCTACTCTGAGATTAACCGACCCATTATCACTTACCTGCATCTCTGTTCCACTTCCTTTGTAGTCCCACTCCTAATCCCTGTCAATCTGAGTCTCTGTGTGTGTGTGGGGCTATTTGGATTATTTCCCTCACGCTTCATGCCGGATGCTCTCTGCTTATCTAATGCTTTAAGCAGTGGCTCAGGGTTAGGAGGTGCCAGTTAAATGAAGGTTTTTAGTGTGTATGTGTGTATGTGTGTGCGCACACGTGTGTGTGTGTTAGGGGGTATGTTTTTTTAGAAAAACAAAAGGAGTTTTTCTTTCCCATTTGTCTTACGTTTGTAGTGTGACGCTTGCTGGTGACCAGGGATGTACTTTTCTCCATGCATGCATGAGTAGCTGTGCATGTGCGTGCGCACGTGCACGTGCGTTGATCGTAAGCGTTTGGTTCATCCGGAGGTTTAGGATGTGTACTCTTCCATCTGAGGGTGTGTCATTCTGCTTGTCTGCAGCAGCCAAGAGCCTCCTCAACAAGAAGGCCGACTACAAGGTAAGATCCCTCTGCAGGCCACCTTCTTACACGTCTGTCACAAACACGTCAACGTGTTACTGAACCTCATCAGTTTAATACACAAAACTCACATGAAAACACTGCGCTGGTACTTTTCTGCCTCAACTTTCTTGAGATGTGTGCAAAATTTAGAAATGTTTTAATATGTCTGTAAAATGCTTTTTAAAAATGTCTTTAAAACAAATCAAATAAAAGGTGAAATATACATAACAATGTAATAATTATCCATGTGAAACAAGTTACTTCGAGCCTTAGTGTCATGTAAACATACCTCCAACAAGCTTTTTTAAAACTATTTATCAGTTTGTTTATTAATAATAAATCAACAGATTTTACCAGAACATTAGTATTCATTATTTAACAATTATTTCAAACCAACATATCTGCCCAAATAAAACCTTATATCTGTGTATTCCTTATATGAATGTCATGTTTCTAAATGATTCTGGCCTCTATACTGACTTTTTAAATGCTTTCTAAATAGATTATTCATGACTTTGTTAACAGCAGATTGAGTATAACAACTCATTTAAAGAACTCACCGTTTAGCATGATCAGGTGCTGTTCTGTTCATTTCCTAATGCTTTAGATTTAAACATTAAACTTTTACAGCTAATTACTGAAGCTTCGTAGACACGTGTCTCTACAAAGTTTTTTTTTATGTCAAAAGTTATTGAGTTAAAAAAATAGATAAGCAGCTAGCAGTTAAAGTGTATCTTACCCCCCTGTGAAAAGATAACTCCGCCCCAAGGCAAAATTTGAAAAATGCATCAAACTGGGTAGGGGAGGGGGGTTAGAGAGCGGAGGTGTGGCCAGGACGAGAGAACGTGACAGCCTGACATAAAAAAATAAAAACATACAGCTGCAGCTGATCTCAAGATTGCTAGTTTAAATCAGGAATAAAAGTGTTGGGTCTTGTTTGACTGAAGTTCGGTCCGTTAGGGCTGCAGCTGCCCCGCTGTGTTTCTGCCTTTTTTTTTTCCCTCATCCCCTCCCGCTGTGCAGGACGTACTGCTGGAGAGAGAGAGAGAGTGTGTGTGTGTGTGGAGAGAGGGAGAGAAAGAGAGAGAGAGAGAGAGAGAGAGAGAGAGAGAGAGAGAGAGAGAGAGAGAGAG